CTAGACTACTAGGCATCATCATGACCCAAAAGTGATCATGACATGCATGACTTAGACTAGTCATCACATGTACAACTTTATCGTTTCCTCTTCGATCATGTCGTAATCGAACCCCGATTACGAGTCACACATTAACAATTCTCCACCTTGACTCGTAATACTACACATTTCCTCATAACAAGTAATAACCAACTAGTCTCCGAAATATAAACAGTAACACACCTTCCCCTAACAAGCCCTCACAGGCTTACATTGAACATTTAAAGAGACCAAATAAGTCCACACAGTTACACACAAAGTGAACTTAGTTGTTGGCAAAGGTTTTGTCAACATGTCCGCGGGATTTTCCTCGGTACCAATCTTCTTCAAGAGTAACTCTTTCTTTGCAATCACATCTCGAACGAAGTTGTACTTATCATCAATGTGCTTGGTTCTTTTGTAAAATGTGTTTTAGTTCTTAGCCAAGTGAATTGCACTTTGGCTATCAGCCTATCACCAAACACGGACACTAAGCTTGATTATGAACTAAACTCACCCACTAGACCCTTGAGCCATTTTGCTTCCTTGAATGCCTCGGTAATGGCCATGAACTCGGCTTCCGTAGTTGAAAGAGCTACAACATATTGTAGTGAAGATTGCCAACTCACGGCCTTACCACCCAAAGTAAAAACATAACCGGATATAGATTTTCGATCACCCAAGTCTCCTCCATAATCCGAATCACAACAGCCAACAAGTCCGTTGCATCATTTCCAAACTCAAGGCAAACGTTTGAGGTTCCTTTCAAGTACCTCAACAACCACTTCACAACTTCCCAAAAGACCTTTCCTGGCCTTGACATGTACTGACTCACCATGCTCACCGTATGAGCTATATCCGATCTTGAACATACCATGGCATACATCACACTTCCAACCGCACTTATGTAAGGAATATGAGCCATCTCTTTCTCTTCTTATGTGGATTGAGGATAAAGCTTCTTTAAGAGATTAAAGTGAGAACCCAATGGAGTGGATGCTGGTTTAGCATGCACCATGGAGAAGCATTCAAGCGCCTTCTCAATGTATCTTCTTTGACTAAGATACAACACACCCACACTCCTATCACGAATAATCTCCATACCAAGAATCTTCTTGGCTTCACCAAGATTTTTCATGTCAAACTCACTAGACAACAACTTTTTCAAGTTGTTAACCTCAATCATATGCTTGCAAGCCACCAACATATCATCTACACATAAGAGAAAGTAGATAAAGGAACTACCTTCAAGTTCTTTGAAGTAAACACAACTATCAAACGAGCTCCTTGTGAACTCATGTGTCAACATGAATGAATCAAAACCATTTCCTTGGAGATTGCTTCAAACCATACAAGGACTTTACAAGACGGCTAACATGATCTTCCTTCCCTACTACCTCGAACCTTTCTGGTAGTCTCATGTAGATCTCTTCCTCTAATTCACCATGAAGAAATGCGATCTTCACATCAAGTTGATGTAGCTCCAAGTCTTCAATAACTACCAAAGCAAGCAACACCCCTATGGATGAGTGTTTCACAACCAGTGAGAAAACTTCATGAAAGTCAACGCCTTCAATTTGTGCGAAACCTTTTGCAACTACTCTTGCCTTGTAGATAGAACCGCCCGATTCCGGTATACCTTCCTTCTTCTTGTACATCCATTTGCACCCAACAATTATCTTGCCTTTTGATGCAAAACATAGCTCCGAAGTATTAGTCTTGCTCAAAGATTTCATCTCTTGCTTCATGACTATCAATCACTTGTCGGCATCGGGTTGAGACATTGCTTCCTTAAAGGAGCATGGATCATCATTATTGGTCTCAACTTGACTTGCAATGGTGAGATCATATTGGACATAATCACACTCCTCAATGTATCTACTTGGAGGCTTGATTGTTCTTTTTGCTCTCTCTTCGGCAATGGACTTCTTTTGGGCTTGTGTTGTTGCTTCAAGAGGTCTCCTTGGAGAAGGACCATTTTCATGATGTGGATGCTCATCATTGAGCTCCACCTCCTCCTCAGTATCATGGTGTGTACCTACATCATCATTACATATAGAAATCTCCTTTTCAGGAGCAATCATACATTTTTCATCAAAGACTACATCTCTAGAAGTTATAACTCTTCTAAATTGGGTACACCATACTCTATAACCCTTAACACCTAAACCATAGACTACAAATATACATTTTCTAGCTCTAGGTTTAAGTTTACCATCATTTACATGAATATAAGCCAGACAACCAAATATTTTCAAAGTAGAATAATCAACGGGTTTTCCGTACCATACCTCTTGTGGTGACTTAAAGTTAAGGGTCGAGTGAGGAGAGCGATTCACCAAGTAACAAGCTGTTGATATGGTTTCCGCCTAAAAAGATTTCCCCATGTTTGCTTGTGAGAGCATATATCTTGCTCTCTCTAGGAGAGTTCTGTTCATTCTCTCCGCAACCCTATTTTGTTGAGGTCTACCCACACAAGTTCGATGCTGCACAATGCCTTGTGAATTTCTTTTCAACAAACTCTAGACCATTATTGGCCCTCAAGGTCTTGATTCTTTTCTCGGTCTTCTTCTCAATCATGGTCTTCCAATCAAGGAAAACATCAAAGACATCATCTTTATGCTTGATGAAGAACGACCAAACTTTCCTAGAAAAATCATCAACCATAATGAGTAGATAATTACAACCACCAATAGAAGAAACTTTAGAAGGACCCCACATATCCGAATGAATGTAGTCAAGTATCCCTTTGGTGTTGTTAATTGCGGGTGAAGCTAACCCGCTTGTGTTTGCCATACACACAATGCTTATAAAGGCCAAGGCTTCCAAGCTTTAAGCTTCCAAAACGACCTTGTTTACTAAGATCCGACATACCATGCTCCCCCATATGGCCAAGTCTCAAATGCCATAATTTGGTCTCACTATCACTCATAGTAGCCGTGGAAAAATTTGCTGAGCCAACCATGGTGGATCCTTGCAATGTATACAAGCTACCCACTTTTAAACCTTTCATCAACACAAGAGCACCTCTCACAACCTTCAAAACTCTACCTTCCACTAAGCACTTACACCCGTTTGTGTCAAGGGTGCCAAGAGAGATCAAATTCTTCTTTAGCTCCGGAACATGACGAACTTTAGATAAGGTTCTCACAACCCCGACAAGCATTTTGATGGCGACCGTCCCAATTCCAATCACCTTTCAAGTAGCATTGTAACCCATGGTGACATTACCTCCATTATACTCCTCATAGGAGCTAAAGAGATCCTTGTTGGGGGTCATATGAAAAGAGCAACCCGAATCTAAAAGTCATTCATCCTTTCCCTAGAATTTCCCATGAGTGGCAACCAAAGCACCACTATCACTATCGGTGTCAGCATAACTAGCTTCGGTGGTATTTTGTGAATCTTTGCCCTTTTTGTTCTTAGCATCACCATTCTCCGATTATTTCTTTGCCACTTCCAACACTCCAATTTTAATGTGGCCCTTGATGCGACAATAGTTGCAAGTCTTGTTACGGTTAGGGTTCGATTTCTTTTACTTAGACCGACCCTTGTTCTTTCCCCATTACCATTACTAATAGAATACCCCTCACAAACAAACCATAATTATTGGAGTTATTAGATGATTTAGAAATTAATTGATTATCAATTAAGTCCCTTTGGAACAAAGCATCTCTAACATCATCTATACTCAAATCGTCTCTACCATACACTTGCTTGTAAGAAGGTGGTAATGAACATAACAAGTAAATAGCAAGATCTTCATCATCCAATGTCAAATCAATATTTTGAAGATCCGTGACAATCGAGAAAAATTCATCTAAATGAGACTTAAGTAAATTTCCTTCCTCAAGGCGAAGATCCTAGAGTCTACTCTTAAGTAGTAGATGGTTGGTGACACTCTTTGCCATGTAATTAAAGAGACTCCAACTTCGACCATAGATCCTCCGCGGTAGCTTCGTTTGCAACTTCCCTCAATACTTCATTAGAGAGGCAAAGTTGTATAGCCGACAAAGCCTTCAAATCTATCTCTTCCCACTTCTCATCCGTCATAGTTAACGGTTCTTCATCTTTCCCATCAAGAGCCTTGTGCACACCATTTTGTATCAAAATGGCTTTCATCTTTAATTTCCAAAGGCCAAAGTTAATTGATCTATCAAACTTCTCAATATCTATCTTCATTATTGGCATGAGTACTCAATACTCAAAAACAAGAAATCAAAACAATCAACCCCAAAACAACTTAAGCTATTGTTACCAATTGTTATGAAATAGGACCTTTTGGGACTTTGAATTTGATTGTAATAACAATGTAAGTTGAAATGAGAAAGCAATTAAAATGCACAACTCAACAACACTGAATTTATAGTGGTTCACTCAAATCCACTTTAGGGGAAGGGAGATAGAGCTTTTATTACCAACTTCAATATAGGAAAGGAATTACAAGTCTTACAAGAGATGAAGCTATGTGTGTTAATTCATAACGTGGTTGTTCATCCACTTCACATAAGACGATTTCAGAAGAAGAAATATACAAGGCACCTATGTCACCATATTTGCATGTGTCCCTAAAATCAATCAAGTAATCATGACATTAAAGTCATTATGGCATGCAAGACTAGACTACTAGGCATCATTATGACCCAAAAGTGATCATGACATTCATAACTTAGACTAGTCATCACATGTACAAATTTACTGTTTCCTCTTCAATCAAGTCGTAATCGAACCCCGATTACGAGTCACACAATAACAATTACCAACAATTACTTAGATCTACGTTTAGCATATCGGTGCCCTCCTTCGGCGATCATCTAGATTCGTTAGAAGAAGATAAAGTTGGGAAGACATAATGTATAATTGCTTTTTTTTTTTTTTTTTTTGAGAAAATAATATTTAATTGCTTCATTAAATTAAGTATACTAAACAAATCACATAGTCATCAACAAGCAAAAGTAAAAGTTCTATAATAAAACACGTGTCATTACCAAAGCCTAACTTTGCGGTCTCAATTGGTAGGTGATGTAATAATTATTACACAAATGATTTCTCAAAATTGTTATAAACCACAAAAATATCTATTTTCAACAATTTTTCCCTGTTACAGGAAAATATAATATTGAATAAATAAATAAAAATAAAAAAATAAATATCCTCTCTTTTACATTTCCTGAAGAATCTCGTTGATTTTCTCTCTCCTAAGAATTCTCAAATCTTCCTCCAATTTAGCAGCAAACCAGGTTCCTCTCTCTTATTCCGATCTCTTTGTAAATATAATATATAGTTTTGGATAATTATAAACTTTAGTTTTGGGTATTTAGATTTGATTACTGGAATAAATATAATTATTTTGTGTATGTTTTGCTGTAAATATTGTTGGGGTTGAGTGTTGTCAAAGAAAAGGTGAAGAATTTGAGCTACCCATTTCCTGGTTTGGGGTTTTTTAGATTGCTTAGGTTAATGGGTTTTATGGGTATTTGATTATTTTTGCTATTAGAGGTTGTATGCTGTAATTTACAGCTTTGATTTGTTTAGCTTCATAAATTTGTTTGAACTTCATTAATTGTTTAGGTTTTATTGGTCAATATTTGGAATTATAAGGTGAATTAAGCTTAATTTGGTGTATAATCATTACACATAGATTAGATTTTACAAAGGGTAAGGGAGAAGAGGGGAATTTGTGATTAGTAAGCTGATTAAGTAAGTTATTGATTGGTGAAGATGGTTGAGGCAATTGCAACTGCATCTCTTCTAGGCTACCGGCCGCTATATGGCGGCTGGGGTTTGGGGGATGCTAATTATAGGAGAAAACCTATTGAGAATGCCCGGTTTCCGGTGGAGAGGTTCATAGGTGGAAAGATGGCTTTGAATCAATGTTTATGCAAGAAGAGAGTTGAGAGGGTAGACATGAGGTCAAGGGGGTCTATTGTAGCCCTTGCAATGGAGTTGACGAAAGAGGCTTATGCTTTTAAGGAAAAGGATCGAATACCACGAACTTGGAATGATAGAATTGAAGTTGACACTGATTTAAAAACTAGCATGTGGCCTCCAAATAATAGGGCTGATAATCCGTCTTTGCATAACCCTTTGCTTCGGCTTGAAAGGATGGGTTGTGGGTGGCTAGGTGCTATATTTGAGTGGGAAGGGGTTATAATTGATGATAATCCTGATCTTGAGAAGCAGGCTTGGCTAGCTCTTTCTCAAGAGGAAGGAAAGACACCTCCCCCGACTTTCCTTCTTAAAAGGATAGAAGGGATGAAAAATGAACAAGCAATTTCTGAAGTCCTCTGCTGGTCTAGAGATTCAGCTGAATTGCGAAGGTTGGCTTCTAGGAAAGAAGAGATATATCAACGATTACAAGGTGGTATATATAGCTTGAGATCTGGGTCTCGGGAATTCGTGGATGTGCTCATGGCATACAAGATTCCAATGGCGCTTGTTTCTACCCGTCCAAGAAAAACATTGGAGGCTGCAATTGGAGATATTGAACTTGAAGGGGTGTTTAGTGTGATTGTGGCTGCTGAGGATGTTCATAGGGGTAAGCCTGATCCTGAGATGTTCATATATGCAGCACAAAGTCTAAAATTTATACCAGAGAGGTGCATTGTCTTTGGAAATTCAAACCAGACTGTGGAGGCAGCCCATGATGCTCGAATGAAATGTGTTGCTGTTGCTAGCAAGCATCCTGTTTATGAGCTTGGAGCTGCGGATTTGGTTGTCAGACATTTAGACGAGCTTTCAGTTGTGGATCTAAAAAACCTCGCTGCTGTAGAATCGCCTGAATTTCAGGAGCCAGAGTTGGAGATGGAGGAAGAAATCGAGGAAGACAGGCATTCATCCAGGCCAACTGGAGTGGATGATATCTTCTGGTAGCACACTCAAAATGTACAGTATGTTGTCATCTATTTGTTGGTAAAAATATTGGTTTCTTTTCCTTTTGTATAGAAAATTAGGACAAAAAAGTAGAATTTAGGGGTGGTCTGCATTGGACTACCTTTGTTACTCTTATGTATGTGGATTATGTTCAATATACGAGTTTGTTACTTCAATTGCTCATAATATTCAAGTTTGATGTACTTCATAAATATGTATTTTTTATTTTCTAAATTTATCTTTAGAAACATTTTGTTATGTAATGCATCATCAAACAATAGAAATCTGATAGCTTTGATATACTCTATTCCATTTTCCATTGAGTTTCTGAATGGTTTAACTTAGTGTCGAAAAATATGATAGATCAACTGCAATAAAGCTTCAATAGCTAAATAAAAACTTTGACGGTATTAACATACTCATAGAGTCATAGTTTCATATATAGAAATGTCTGTCCTTGTTTTGATGTGAAATATATATTCGATTATATGGTGACTGTCTATAATTTGCTGTCAATATTTATGCCATTTATAAATGTCGAAGTACAAGGTATATAGGTAGAAATATGTGAACTGCTCAGAAGGATAAACTAGCTGTGAGAGACTGATCCAAGTAGAAGATATGAAGCCAATGAGATTGTTAAAAGTAATAGAAATGCCCAGCTTCAGGTCTTTGCCAGTGATCTACCCGATGCCCAGGAGTATACTTCAGGAGGCAAAGCCCTGCCATTGCTCATATAATTCTGCGGAACACCACATACATCGGACACATCAATATGCTGGTAGTGATGGCGGCGATTGTTCTGGTAACATTGGTTTTGAGCTGCAACTTCATTCTCCTCTTCGCATATAGGTAAACGATCAAATGATGCATTCATAAAAGTAGCAGCCATAATAACCACAGGACCGGAGGCAATAAGGGCACCCACCACTCCCCCACCTACGACCTGCCCCTGTGGGCCTGCCAAGTAAACTGTTAGACCTGTGAGACCTGGTGGTGCAACTGGTGGTGGAAGTATGGATCCGAGGAGAGAGAGAATCTCGAATCGACCATGGAGGGTTACAATGGCATTAGGGCCTTGTGATGAAGGGTGCCTTAGAGTAACATTGGTTACATACCCTGTACCACTTAGTATGCAAACTCCTTTCTGCTTCTTACGAGCAAAGGTGATCAGGCTTTCATTGACATCGCAACCCGAGCTTACCTCCATAGCATGGGCACATAGTGTGTTCGGGCTCTCCCTCGTGATGATAATTGGCGGTTTAGGCTTGTTCTTGGACCCAGCAGGCCTGCCACGAGGCCTCCGGATTGGCTCTCCATCAGCTGTTTGGGCTGTCAGAGGCACCGCTTTTGGTACCTTCGAAGGGATTAGGAGTCCTCTTGAGTCCATCCCTGGTTTCTGGTGGCTTTGGTCTTTGACACCATTTGATTCAACTGCATGTACAGTCATGTCGATGCTTCCTGCCATGCAGATGATTTTTGAACTCTGCTATAAAGGTATTACAACAAAGTAAAATGGATGATCTGGAGAAGTTTAATGTTGGGGGGTTTAAGTACAGAAATTATGGGATAAATTAAGCAATAGGAAACTGGAAAAAACCGAAAAGAATGATCAAAGATTAGGAGAGAATTAAGTTTCACCAAACTTGTAGATTGTCTTTTTTATATCTTGGTTATACCTGCAAGAGATTCTCATGTCAATTGTGTTTTCTCATTAACTTACCTTTTTTGCATTTAGTTGGTACCACCATAAATCACATAGTATGCCTAATAATATCACAATATCAGTCCAAATACTTCATGTAGCATAACCAAAATCATTGTAACAACTGTATTGTGGTTTGTTCAATTTGCTAGTTATTAATTATAATTCCATATCATTACACAAAAGTGATTTCTGTGACATATCTAAAAGGGATTTAAGAGTGAATCTGTGGATGAATAATAAAAATTGCAGACTGCAGATGGATTCACAAAGAAATTTCAGACTGTAGTGTGGCTGTTCGAAAATAAATATTACGTTAAATACGGGTGTGGGCCGCACCCGCCAATCAAGAGAGAGTGTCCATTTTACAAGACCAAAGGAGGTTTCATCCCAAAACCATATGACAATAGGAGGAGTAGTCCCTTAGCCTTATAAAGTGTTCGACTCTCTCTTCTTTTCTCAATGTGGGACACTTACATGTGTTATTTGGTAGGATATACTTCAACACTCCCCCTCACATGTAAGGTCCCTTTTAACTCAAGGATCACTTGATCCAATACAATTGGGCCCAGAATACTTAATGTCATTAAAGGTCCCAAACTTTGGACCTGGCAATATACTCAAGCCATTAGAGGTCCCATATTGTGGGCCTGGCTTTGATACCATGTTAAATACGGGTTTGGGCCGCACCCGCAAACCAAGAGAGAGTGTCCACTTCACAAGACCAAAGGAGGTTCCATCCCAAAACCATATGGCAATAGGAGGAGTAGCCCCTTAGCCTTATAAAGTGTTCGCTCTCTCTTCTTTTCACAACGTGAGATACTTACATGTGTTATTTAGTAGGATATACTTCAACAGTTTCAGATAATCAAACGTTTCAAGGATTCTGGCCCTTTGTGTATTTAATGTTTTGTTAACTTTCTCTGTGAGACTAATCACAATACTCAGTTACATATAGTACGTTGTGGTTGAAGAATTTGAGCATCATAGATCTTTGTTGCTGTGAACACATTTAGCTGATGCCATTTGTAACGTTCTATCACGGCTGCCTGGACCAAAGTGAGTCTGTTTAACGGGCTTGGTTGGAAAATTATAAGTTGGAGTACTAGGTTTAGATAATGCCATTGGTAAGGTTGCCTTGAAGATGCACCTACTGGAGCACACCGTATCACCATGTGTATCAGCACATATTGTGTTTAGGCACACACTGCTCCATGAAATCGGGTGTACGATAGGTCGTATAAGATTGCAAATTTGCAATGAACCTAGTCCTCAAATGGACGTCTTAGTTACTTCCTTAATTTGTTTTACACTTATAAATGACTACTCTTATCGTTTTAAGAGCTCTATTTGACTTCTTAATTTTGAATTTTGAGGGCATGAACTTTTCTTCTACGACTCTACGTCCTCCATGATGTAAGCCTATATCTTAGTTTTGGACTATGACTTCAGTAAGTTAGTAGTAATCATAATATCATGTGATGCAAATGACATGTATTATTACACATTTACACACATGAATTTGCTTCAGAAAGGATCAAATTTGATGGTGGCATTTTAATCAAATCAACATTGATTTATTAATGAGAGTGGGGGATAGCTCAAGTGGTTAGAGCTTTCCTCCCTCTCTCAAGAGATCTTGGGATTGATTTGCATCATCTGCCCTTGTGGCTCTCTAAACACAAACAAAAAAAAAAAAAAAAAAAACATTGATTTATTAATGAATTTAAATTATTTTTACTAAATTGAATTTTTTTTTTTTTTTGAAACTTATTCTCTATATATTGTTATTTAAAGTTATTGATTTTTACAAATTAAAACTAATTTTATTGAATTGAAATTGTTTTTGCTAAACTGAATTTATTATTTATATTACTGAAATAAAATTATTTTTGCTGAACCAAACTTATATTACTGAAACTATTTTTTTACCGAGTATTCCATTCGTCCCATAATAACTAACATGTTTGACATTTTTCTTGAAAAGTAGATTGAAATAATACAACAATAAAGAAGAAAAGTAGAAAAAAATTAAATTTAACGGCTATTTCACCAAATGCCACTGAGCAATTGCAAAATTCACCAAATGTCATCAAACTTTTCAAAATTCACCAAATGTCATCGAGTTTTACAAAAATTCACCAAGTGCCATTTATGGCTGACAACCGTTAGTTGACCCCACCACTTGCCATGTGTCACCTTCTAATTGGTCCGTTTTTTAAAAAAAAAATTAAACAAAAACTTATAAAAAAAAACACCACCCTGCCGCCACCTTCCCCACCAACCTGCCACCATTCACGCAACTCCCCTCTCCCCCACCCCTGAAACTGGCCAGCCGGCGTACAACTCACCCACTGCCGGTCGACCACCTCCTGTTACCTAGACCTCCCCTTACCCCTCGCGCCACCCATCCAAATGAAACCCTAACTTCCGATCACCCTAACCTGTTATGTAGCCCAATTCCACCCCTTCCTAACCACCGCAGCCAACCTCCACCACCAAAAACTCCCACAAATCGCAGCAACCCTCTCCTTCTCAAATAGCAGCTAACATCAGCCTTGCTGCCGTTCCCAATCCTCGCACCAACAATAAAAGCCCCGCCGCATCACCAATTCCCCATTTGCGCATCAAATCATAGCCAACGCCACCAATTACCACCAATCCTCCACCCCTAATCAACAATTTGCCACCAATTTCAACAATTTTGCCCTCAACCGTTAATTTTGTTGAGATTCGTGATTGCCGGTGATGGGCCTAATGCGTCAAGCTAAAGAACAGAGCAACCACATTAAAGAAGACAAGGGACCCCACCCACATTATCGACCACCCCACCCACGAAACCCCAATGGTGGTTTAGAAGTTGGGAGGTTTTCAAGCGTTTAAAGGGAAAGGGTGCGGTTTCGGGATAGTGGAGGAAGGGGGGTGGGGTTTTGGATTTTGTGTTTAAAGCTCCGGTGGGTCGTGACGGGGGAAGAGGATGGGAAAGGGAGGAGGGCTGGCGGCCGCTGGCACGCTTGCCGTTGCAGGTCCCGGCGGTAGGGGTTCGGGGACCGGCGGCATGGCTGGGGTGGTGGCTGCTGGGGTTTGGGGATTTTTTTTTTTATTATTATTATTATTATTTTAAATTTTTTTAATTTTTTGTTTAATTTTTTAAAAAAAACGGAGCAATCAAAAGGTGACACGTGGCAAGTGGCACTAGGTGAATTTTGCAATTGTTTAGTGGCATTTGGTGAAATAGCCGTAAATTTTAAGTAGTTCCAATAAGCTATAGAATTTCTCATGCATGCTTTTGTCAAAAAAAAAATGTCTCATGCCAATGTCCATGTTAAAATCTATCACCCATGAATTTTTATTGGTTTATAGACTTGAAAAGAATAGTGGTATAGAAGTCATTTCTCATCAAAAAATTAAAATAAAATGTACTCCATACAATTTAAAATTTCCAATAACGCCCATTTCTCCAACAACAATTTATTTATTTATTTATTTCAAAATAAATGTCCCAATACAACTTTTGCACTATTCAAAAGCAACACTTTGACCTTCGTTTGCGCTTTATACGTAAAATTAAATTCGACTATTAATTTATTTTATTTTTGAGAGGTTTCGATTATTAACTTTTTATTTTTTTTTTTAATTTTTTTGGTGTTTAGAGAGCCACAATGAGTGGGGATGAGAATCGATCCCAAGATTTCCTGGAACCAAGAGGGTACCTCTAACCACTTGAGTTATCCCTCACTCTCATTATTAACTTTAATAGTGAGAGTGAGTAAGTTAATCCCTCACTCTCACTATTAACTTTGATAATTTTTAATACCAGTAGTTAAAGACAATATAGATTAAAATTTTACATTAACAAATATACCGATCAAATGAAAACTGAGATCATATGGAGTAACCTGGCGTCGTTGACACTCGAGTGTACTATGAAAAGTTGAAAACCGTCATTGAATAATGTTTGTACAAATGTGACCTTCTCCCGTGTCTACTCTCAATCGTTCATTCGCTCGCTTTATAAATTTATATTCGACTTCTTTCTCCTCTCTCTATCCACCACTCTCTCTCCACCTTCCTTGCTTCCTCTGTCATTGCACTACTTGAAAAAATAAATTAAAAAAACAACCTTAGGCTACTTTATTCTTATTCTCATCCATCAATATCCCAGGTAATTTCTCAATTCATGTTTTTTAAGGAAAAATTCATGAGAATAATCCCACCTTTAGGCCGTTCGTTTTTAATAATCCAACCTTTCGATTATTTTTTAATAATCCGACCTTTGAGTGCCTTTAATTTTTATTGGTCCCATTTAACCTGAAACCGGTTGAAGAGGTAATTTTTTTTTTTTGGTTTAAAATACACGTGTCATTACATAATTGGTCAAAAAAAAAATTAAAAAAACCCAAATAATTTAGCCACCATCCCCACCACCACCCAAACCACCACCCCCACCACCAACCAGCCACCTACTCCCTATTCCCCTCCTCTGGCAGCAACCCCCACCACCGACAGCAACCAAGTCCCCCATGGATTCCAGCAGCCTCAATTCCCCTTTTCCGGCCAACTAGTCCCCCTTCCCTCTTTCCGGCCAACACTCGAAAATCCTCGCAACTCCAACCAATGCAGCCACCACCCAAAACACTGCACCTCCTCTCTCAGCCCACGCACCTCCACCCTGCGCAACCAATTAGCCACCAACCTGCAACAAACAACCACCAATCAGCCAACCTTCTCACGCACAACCTCAAGACAGCAGCAACCCCATTACCGCCACTTCCAAACCCCTGCCACTGCTCTCTCTCTCCACCTCGACATCAGCCAGCAACAACAATTAATCCACCCACATCGAAACCCTAGAAACCCGAAACACTTAGCAAAGAGATGAGAAAGAGGTGGTAAAGCAGTGGTTTATGATTATAGGTGGTTTTCGGGTGTTTCGAGTGGGGTAGAAAGGTGGTAAAGGAGCGGTGGTTGGGGTTGAGTAGAGTGGTGATTGAGTTTTGGGTGGAGGTGAGGTGGG